CTGCCATTCTAGCAAATGCGCATCTTTTTTAAGTATAGGTAACATTTGGAAAAGAAATAAAATTTTGGGTAGGATATTCATTTTCACTGCTGCTATTCCCAACAAAGATAACTGCAACTTGTCCCATTTTTTCATCTCTGTCTGTATACTATGCCAAATTGGTTCATAATTATACTTATATAATTTCCCATTTGAGGTTGAAATATTAACTCCCAGATATTTGACCTTTTTAACTGTTTCACATCCTATCATTCCTCCAACCCTCTTCCTTTTGTTTAGTATTCATATTTATAGCTAGTATTTTTGTTTTCCCTAAATTTATTTTAAAGCCAGACACTTTTTTTTTGCACATATTTTTGGACTGTTACAGCCATAGAGTTGGACGTATATTTTCAGGATTTTATAACTCACCTATCGAACAACTGGAATAAAATTTGATTTTAGGCATACTAATTCGGAAGAGGGTTGGGCAAGGCCCAATCTTTAAGCAAAGGGGAAGGACTGTTAGGCTTCTCACCAAGGAAACTTGGAAGTTTTTCAGATAGAGATTTAAGGACACAACTTTGTAACAAACATGTTTATTGCAAGTACTTAGGAAGCCATTAAAAAGAAATCTAGCCAGGATCATATAAAATACAAGGGCACAGTTATAATAGTAGGGTAATTTTATTTATGTGTAACATTTATATAGCTGCCCATCTTGTACTGAACTCTGAGAGGATTTGCAATCAAAAATTTCATGTGCCTTTTATTCCTGCCCATGAGGCACAAAAGGTGGCCTTATTGTCTTAACTGGAAGAAACCTTACATAAGAGGCGTCCTTATATTAACAAGTCTCCCAGGCATGCTATAATGAAAGCAACTGCCTACAAAGGAAAAAAAATAACCTACTTAAAAACTTTCCCAATTGCGTCATCCTTCAAACCCAAGAGATTCTTAGTTAGCTACTTCTGCCAATTATATAAAAGGTGGTTCAAATTATCATCAGAGATATTATTTGGAAAGCTTGGACATAAAAATACGTATTGCCAGATTTGGAACTAATTTCAAGGTTATATTTAATCTTTAAATGCAACATTAGGTAAAGCAACATTCATTACATTAATTCCAGTTGGAATTAGAATTTGCAAGAACTTATTGTTTTGTTGTTATTTAGAATAAAGAGGGGTAAGGTAATCCGTTTGAAATGTTTTGACTGAAAACTTTCCATATAATAAGATTCTCCATACAATATTTTGTGTCGATGTCTAAACCAGTACAGCTCTGGCTGACCAGAAATTGAATTTAAAAAGTTACACACACATGGTTTATAACTTGTGAAAAAGACTAAAAATGAGAATTTCCTTGCTGAGAAACTATATAGAACTAATTAATATCCATACTCCCCTGTCATTCATAAATGAAACCCAACCTATTTGCATTGTCATACTTTTATATGTTTTGTCTTGTTACAACATTATTAGTGTGGGATTGCCTGAACTCAACCACAAAATTTAGTAGATGGCAACTTGTTTTTTTGATTAGTGCTTTGAGCGTTTGGAGGTATAGCTCATGAAAACATTTTGGAAAATCAATAAACACATGCTGCATTATTGCAAATGATTGTTATGAATGCTGAAATGGACTA